TCATGAGATATTTTTTCTTTCTACAAAGGGGAATTGGGTGATATATAATTGGTTGAATTGAAGCTCCTTAGTGGGCAATTAACTTAAATATTTACTTTGGACCAAAATCTTGAGTGTCTGTGTATCTCTGATATACTTTATGGATCAGAACTATAAAATAAGAGCCAACCATCAAAATTTCTAGACTATAAGGCCCATTTTCCCTTTTATTTTCATTTTTTTTTCAATTTACTATTATTATTATTTTTGAAGAACATAAACTAGCAAATTGCATTAGGGATTAATATCATCTTTAAAATATTGTGTTCATTTTTCTTTTCTTTTTCTTTCTGGTTGATCACTTATAAATAGAGCCGTTAAATGAAACGAGCAGTTAGCGTGCGCTGCTCGGCACGAGAACGCTAGTTCATTTAAAATTTGTTTAGCTAAAGGCACACAAATAAAATTTTTATATCCTCCCTATATATAATTCACGAATGCGCAGAGTCTACGTGACTGCTTTTGGTGCTTCGCAATCCTATTTGGCGAAGAATCATGCTTCGTAATTAGGTTTGGATAAATAATATTGATATATTAATAATTAATAATCTAGGTTCGGGTATTCCATAAATATTATTTAGCTAACTTAGGTATTTTAATATCACTTTTACTAATATAACCCTTTAATTCTTTGTAATTTTACATAGTGAGGCACTAAGTGACTAATATGTCCCTGAATTTTGATTTGTTTCCTTCAATAAGCTATTGAATTATAAATGTATTTTAAAAGTTGATAACTTTTGTATTTCTTATCGGTATTACATATATAATATATCAAATTAATCATCTTTTGATGATCTTCGATTTGACATCCATATTGTATATATGAAATAAATAAATTATATTTATCTTTATGATAATAATAAAAAATAATAATATTTATTAAAATTCATTAGAAAAATAAAATTATTTCTCCATTGATATATTTATATGTAATGTAGTTATATATTGTAAGTTAAAAAAATTAGTATAATACAACACAAGTAAGTTGCACAAATAAAAAGTGTCATAATAAATATATAATAATATATATTCTTATAAAATGTATTTAAATTTTCAAACTACTTTTTCTCATTAATTTTAGATTTTAAGAAAAAAATTAGCAAGCACTCGTGTAATACACGGGTGTTGTACTAGTAACTTTTAATAGCACATCCTCCCTATATATAATTCACGAATGTGTTGACCCTACGTGACTGCTTTTGGTGCTTCGGAATCCTATTTGGCGAAGAATCATGCTTCGTAATTAGGGTTGGATAAATAATATTGATATATTAATAATTAATAATTTAGGTTCGGGTATTCCATAAATATTATTTAGCTAACTTAGGTATTTCAATATAACTTTTACTAATATAACCCTTTAATTCTTTGTAATTTTACATAGTGAGGCACTAAGTGACTAATATGTCCCTGAATTTTGATTTGTTTCTTTCAATAAGTCATTGAATTATAAATGTATTTTAAAAGTTGATAACTTTTGTATTTCTTATCGGTTTTATATATATAATATATCAAATTAATCATCTTTTGATGATCTTCGATTTGACATTCATATTGTATATATGAAATAAATAAATTATATTTATCTTTATAATAATAAAAAATAATAATATTTATTAAAATTCATTAGAAAAATAAAATTATTTCTCCATTGATATATTTATATGTAATGTAGTTATATATTGTAAGTTAAAAAATTAGTATAATACAACACAAGTAAGTTGTACAAATAAAAAGTGTCATAATAAATATATAATAATATATATTATTATAAAATGTATTTAAATTTTCAAACTACTTTTTTCTCATTAATTTTAGATTTTAAGAAAAAAATTAGCAAGCACCCGTGTAATACACGGGTGTTGTACTAGTAACTTTTAATAGCACATCCTCCCTATATATAATTCACGAATGTGCTGAGCCTACGTGACTGCTTTTGGTGCTTCGGAATCCTATTTGGCGAAGAATCATGCTTCGTAATTAGGGTTGGATAAATAATATTGATATATTAACAATTAATAATTCAGGTTCGGGTATTCCATAAATATTATTTAGCTAACTTAGGTATTTCAATATCACTTTTACTAATATAACTCTTTAATTCTTTGTAATTTTACATAATGAGACACTAAGTGACTAATAAGTCCCTGAATTTTGATTTGTTTCATTCAATAAACTATTGAATTATAAATGTATTTTAAAAGTTGATAACTTTTGTATTTCTTATCGGTTTTACATATATAATATATCAAATTAATCATCTTTCGATGATCTTCGATTTGACATTCATATTGTATATACGAAATAAATAAATTATATTTATCTTTATAATAATAAAAAATAATAATATTTATTAAAATTCATTAGAAAAATAAAATTATTTCTCCATTGATATATTTATATGTAATGTAGTTATATATTGTAAGTTAAAAAAATTAGTATAATACAACACAAGTAAGTTGCACAAATAAAAAGTGTCATAATAAATATATAATAATATATATTCTTATAAAATGTATTTAAATTTTCAAACTACTTTTTCTCATTAATTTTAGATTTTAAGAAAAAAATTAGCAAGCACCCGTGTAATACACGGGTGTTGTGCTAGTAACTTTTAATAGCACATATCGTTAAAATTCGAGTTTGTGTAGTAAGAGTTTATAAATAACCAAACTCAAATATCGATTAATTTTGTTAAATTGCCGAACTCAACTGGAATAAAGGTACAATTTAAAGCTAACCATATTAGTAATAATAAACTAAAAATCAAAGTTACTACAATTCCATTTATTCACACTTATATTTTTCAGTTTTCATTCAAAAAGAAGAAACAAAGAAATAAAAAGAAACGGGAAATATTCGCTCGCATAATCTCTCATAACTCCACCGTGCAGATCCACGCGCCGCCGTAATGGCAGATTCTCAGCAAGAGAAACAACTCGATCCATCACAACCACCGACCTCCGCCACCTACCTCCACCCGCGCCGAGAGCCCTTCGAGTACGGGCTCCTTCCCATTCCCAAGCTCATATTTACCGACGGCATACAGACCCTATCCCATGTCAAATCCACCCTCCTATCGTCGAATTCCGATCGCCGAGTCAAGCCGGAGACCCTGGCCGAAGTCCTTCAAATCCCGGTCGAGCATTCGCGTCTATTGGTCGAGACCCTGGCCTCGGTTCTGCATGACGACTCTGATCCCGCGGTGAAGGCCAGGACTCGGGAGGAGATCGACGAAGTTGGGGTAAATGCGTTTGATTTGCTTGTTTTTCTGTATGTACAGAGCTACAAGAGGTTACTGCCGAAAGGGCACAAGGATTCAGCTGCCGTCGCTGATGTTTGGCCGTCTACTTCGGCGTTTGATGGGTTTTTATCTGTGCTTTCGCCGATACAGGTTGTGAATTTACTTTGTTTGAACATTTGTGTTTGTTAAAATGTGACCTTTGTCGTAGTTGAGTGTGGTTTCGATTAAAGCACGCTAAATCGAGCTTAGTTCAATTATTCTATGCCTAGGAAGAAGTGTTTAGTTTTTGGCAAGCTTGGGATCACATATTGAAAATATTCATCTTATCGCTATCTATTAGTTTTGATACCTACAAGGGTCTACATTGACTGCCTTATATAAGCAAATGTCATAGGATGCAGCTGTTAACATTGTATGTGACTCCACGTGCAGTTTTAACTGTTCTATGAATACTACTAAGTAGAGGTTTACCTATTGCAGCTGGTGCGCAGTAACAGTCGTCGATTGATGCCGTCTCAAGCTGATGAAGAGGCTCATCAGCTTTCTTATCTGCAGAAACACCTAAGCAATATCCTTTCCCTCTTGGCAGATGTTGCAGAAGGGGAAGGCGATGAAGCTATGGTATGTGATTTTTATATTTTTTTTGCTTTACTGGGTGCACATATATTTCTCTGAGTAATTGTCTTGTGTATCATGTCTGAATTGTTGAGTTATTCTTTCTCCAAGGTTCTATCCATGGAGAAATTTGAACATCTTGGATTTCTGATGTATTTCGGGGATAAGGGCTCTGAGAGAATCCCCGTGAGCCAGAATACTCCATTCTATGCGAATTCAGATCCGGACATGCCGGCTGCCCCAGTTCCTACATCACAAGTTCTTGATTGGCTTCTCCAAAACATATCCTTTACCCTCGAACATATTGCTGATAGGGCTTCTTCGAAAGAAAACAGCCCTGGCAATTCTTCAGATCAAGATGTCGCAATGTCCGATATCAGCGCCATGAAGCCCTCAAGCAACCTAAGAGGTCCAAGTTTGATTGAGGCTATCTCCAAATCATCGTATGTAAAGCAAGCAACTGATCTTAAGGCTACATCTATAAAGGTATTTTTTCTGTTGGCAGTCTAATGCAGGAAGTTTTCTTTGATGACAGGACAGGTCTTGTTTTATATGTGAAATGTTTACCGAAGTTGGTTTTGCATGCACAAAATGGTCATTTGAGATCTCTTGAGGAGTGAATCAAAATGAGCTGCTCCTTCTTTACTGCTTAGTTAACTGAACTGAAACTCCATACAATTGTTTTGCTGTGAGTGGCAGACTAAATGAGCTGAGCCTAACCGTCTTTTCATTATCGTTCTCATCCAGTGACATTGCATTTCGACCATCTGCCACAAGTGTAATCAAATTGCTTGTTTTATTCTTCTTTGCTCTGTTACATATTGTTTACAGTTTTCTTCTTCCAAGTTCAAGTGAAATTGACACTATAACCTCTTGTCTGTTGTATTTATACCAGGTTGTAAATTGTCATGAATCAGTAATTTACATTTTGGCGCCAATGAGATACGCCACAGTCTATGGATGCTCTGATGCTACAATTGTTCTTGGAGCTGTTGGCAAGGTTAAAGTTAGACTCATGCTTTTGGTGTAATATTGTGGAACTTGCAGTTTTCTCTTTATATGGACCTCTAACTAATACTCCATGTCCAAATCAGAACTTATATGCCTAAATAACTGTCTTATACAGGCTGTTAGAGTCGAGCATTGCGAACGTGTTCATCTGATTACTGCAGCCAGACGTATCTGCATTGCTAACTGCCGTGAATGCTTATTCTTCTTGGGGGTTAACCAGCCACCCCTCCTTGTTGGTGATAATCATAAACTGCAGGCTGGTCTCTCATTATGTGGCTTCTTCTTTGTTGACTTCTGACTGTATGAATTATTGAATTTGTAACCCTGCATATCTGTGTCAACATCAAAATAGTTATTAAAGTGGTGTTCTCCTGTCATGTTCAAATGAGCTTTGCATGTGCAATTTCGTTTTACATTTATTTGATATTTGTCAGGTGGCCCCTTATAACACATTCTACTCACAACTGGAGAACCACTTGACTCAAATTGGGATTGACCCTAACATCAACAAGTGGGACCAACCCGTGGTGCTTGGAATTGTTGATCCACATGATGCATTATCTCATCCTGCTGGTGTCTCGGATGTTCAAGCTGAATCTGCCACGAGCTTAGAGCCAAATCAGTATACCAATTTTGTGGTAAGTGCCTTTTTTCTGATGGCCTGCTTGTTTTGGTGATGGAATATCATATATGGAGTGTGTGCACGGCGCATCTGATTTGACTTCTCAGTTAATTTTTGTTCACATTTACCCAAATTATGGTTTGTTGGGTATTATATTGTTCCATACGTTTCTGGCACAGAATAAATTTTGCTTTTATCATCAGATCCCAAGCTGGTTGGGAAGTGAAGAAGATGGTGGAACGAAGGATAACCCCTTCCCTTTACCTTGCCCGTATCTTGCAGCACAGAAGAAAAATGTATGTTCTAGTAATTTTGTTTAGTCCTCATTTGGCATACTCATGGTGATTGGTGAGTTGACTTGTTTTGTTTTTGATCTTCAGCATGAAAATCTGGAAGAGGTTAAGCAACTTTTGAGGGAAACTCAACTTGAAGAAAGCCGAAAACGGGAACTGTCGAGTGCTATCCATGCGTGTTTTAAAGACTGGTTATATGGTAATGCTGGTTACTTTAGGAAAGTTTCTCTTTCACACGAATTGATATATGAAGTTAAGTATACAGCATATCAATGTTTGTCTCTTATATGAAGATATAGTATTTGGTATGTTTCCAGCTCTTATACGATTTTGGAGCTTGATATGGTAACTATCTGATTTATATATCTATTATCTACTGAATAAAGCTTTATGAATGTAATCTTGCTTTGAACTCTGGTCTTCTCAATACGCATGCCATACATGTTTGCTCTTTAATTTTCTTGTTTCGCTTTAAAAAAAAAAAATCTGAATAAACAATTCATGCGAAGTTGCATCAGTGGATCTGTTTCAGATGTTACTCTTTGCTTTGTGGGTATCTTATGATTTCGAAACGTGATACAATTTTTGTTTTTCTCATGCTACTTGCACAGTAAACAGTCGTAGGTTTTCTTATGTTAGGCACAATGCTAGTTAATCTGAGTACACTATCAATTTTATTCGTCCCTATACTCAGAACCATGTTTCACACGAATTTATTGCCTGTTCCCATTTCTCCTTTGTCTGTCGTTTTTGTTGGACGCTAATTGTTTCACTCTTGGTCGAATTATCTGAATTGTGATACATTTGCACATTCCCTTTTGTTTGAATGGCAGCATCAGGAAACATCCGGCAGCTATACTGCTTACAGGGAGAATAACAATAAGGGCATATACTGCAAGCAGAGTCAATACTCGGAGATTGGAGTTTTTTACTCAGGATTTTTCCTTTAATTTAACTCAACCAGTTTCCATTTTTGTTACGAAAGCTTTTTCATTTTTGTAACTTTTTTTTGTTATTTGAGCTTGCTAGGACTTCGTCATCGTCTAGGTAGCTACAGAAAAGTAGGTCCAACGATTTTGAACTATTATGTGTAGATTGCACTTGCACGTTGAACGAATTATTCTTGGTTTGAATTAAAATTCTCAATATCTTATTGATTGTCCTTTTTCCTACTGTGTCTTTGTTACTTCTATCATTGTTATTCCCATGTAAGTAATTATTTCAATGTTTGAAAATCGAAGCAGAGTGTGTGAAACTAAAAAGGTATGCAAGCGCCTGTAATAAGCATTTTAAGTCGGGTCTACCGTCTTGGCTCGAAAAATCATATGACCCAACTAACATTTTTGGTAATTCTTTAATTTTTATTAACATTTTTTTTTTGCCTTTTTTTTAATTATTTTCTACTATTTCCAATCGTTAGACCAACATGTAACTGTAAGAGGTAATTAATCTAACGATTAGAAGCCTCGACGAAATGATTCCGTAACAAGGCCTTAGGACCTTTTCTAATATTAAAGCTACAATAAATCCCCATAAATAGCCTTTTCAAAATTTGATTTATTCGCTCAAATGTGGAAGTGGTATTCGAGTGGAATTTAGAGTTTCATTAACAATTATTTGTTTGCTTATAGTAAATTCATAGAAGGTTAATATTGGAATAAAATAAATGTACAGTGGAATTTGACTTGTTCGTTAGAGAAAGTCAGCCATATAATATTGAACTTTAATTAAGGACTTGATGTTGGAACTGTAATTTATAATTTTGCCATCGTTTATGAGATATAACTCTACAGAATATTTTGTAACTATTTAATTGTTACCGTGTGAAAATTGAACATGACTAGATTGTATACCAATTACTCACTTTTATTTCAACTCAAAATCTAACTCAACTCTAACTCAACCTCACTATCTTTAATATTATTCATATAATTAAATAATACAAACCAATCATTTTTATACATCACATCAACTTTAATTCACTGAATTATTTATTTAAATCAAAAATAAAAAAATAACTAGACAAAATTAAAATAAAAAAAAAAGGAGTGGACTAAAATCAAACAGGCGTATTCTCGGAATACGTCTTTATTTTAAAACGTATTATGAAAATACGTTTTATAAATAAAATTAATTTTATTTATTATTTTTAATTCTAAAACGTATTTTCAAAATACGTTTTACAATTAAATA